TACAAATGTTAAAGGAGTGAAGATTAATAATAATGAACATAAAATATCCCTATATGCAGATGACAAAATTGCAAGTCTTGCCCTTTTAACTGGACACCAGGGGGGTTTAAATACTTAGGAATAAACAACACCACAGGTAGAGAATCTATTTAAAGACAATTATATCCCTCTCATAGATAAGATCAAAATAGATCTGTGTAAATGGTCCACTTTACCACCGTTCTTGTTAGGAAGAATAAATGTTACAAGAATGAATGTCCTCCCAAGACTTAACTTCCTTTTCCAAATGTTACCATGTTATGTATCTGCTGCATTTTTTAAATCTCTGAGCAAAGATATTTCAAAATTAATCTGGTGTAATAATAAGCCAAGGATTGGTTTATAACCCTCATGAAATCGGAGTCCATGTGGGGTCTTGTTCTCTCGAACCTCCAATATTACTTTTGGTCAGCCCAATTAAGGAATTTAGGATCATGGTCGTTGGGGAGATGTGACTCACTGTGGTTCCAGGTGGAAGCCAACATTTTTCATCCTTTACCTCTAGATTCTCTTATATTCATAAAATAAAAATATAAAAAAAATAAAAAAATGTATCATTATTTCACTGTTTTCTTTTTTTTTAAAGTATATTTTTTGGGGCGTTTTTATGCCTTTATTGATAGTGCAGTAGAGAGAGACAGGAAATGGGGAGGCAAAGAGAGGGGGATATGACATGCAGCAAAGGCCGTCCGATGCGGGACTCGAACCGGGGCCAACTGCAGCGAGGACTGTAGCCTCTATACATGGGAAGGAACATTCATTCATATGTTTTGGCAATTCAGTTTGTTAAATCGTTTCTGGAACTCAATTCACTCCTTCTCCACAGCAGTCTAAAAAATTAAATTTGATTTAAAACCTTGTTTTTATTTACTAAATTATATGCCTGATTTTCATAGGGATAAAAAAAATGCAGAATATGAATAACTATACCACACTGAACAAGAAATGCATACTCATATTTTGGAAAAATGAATCTCAAATTTTTGCCTTGAGAGAGAATAACTTTGGAAAAATATAATTGTGATTGTATTTTTCAGGACCTGTGGTCACTAATTTCTGGTTTAGAAAATTTTTCTAGAAATGACCAATAATAAATCTGGACAGTATTTGGTAATGAAATACTGTGCATGAACAGTTATTTCATCATGAATTATTGATATGTGATGTTGCTATTAGCTACAATTCGGTTTTCTATTTTTTTCTGCTGAGGCATACCTCAGTATATATATGTGTTGGTGTGTGTGTGTAGTGTGTATGTTTGTATATATATATTGTTGTCGTGTGTGTGTGTGTGTGTGTGTGTGTGTATATACGAATGCTGCGTTTTGTTTGCTGGGGTGGAGGGAAGGGATGTGAAGTGTGGAGATGTTCAGTGTGTGTGGGAAGTGTGGAGATGGAGAAAAAAAACAAAAACAAAGTTAACCACGCTGTTATTATTGTAACCATGACAACAAAGATCTGTTGAATAAGTACTTATTTTAACCCAAATCAAGATTTTTTCCTTAGCCTAACCAAGCCATGATTGTTAATATAGTAACCATGACAACCAAGGCTCAATATGCCTGCCACTGTAGGGGCACTATTTCAGGAGACACTCCTATGGGTTGTATCAAAAGGTTGGAACAAACAACCTATATGGTTGTTCGGGCTGGATGACTGGTTGGATTTAACTGTGGTATTGATGTTGTGTTAATAATTCACATATAACAATATTGTGATGGTGTTTTTACTATTTATTAGGTTTAACAGAAAATTCAATGCACACTCTGAGAACTGACTGAGATAACTACATCCTTTACTACACAATATCAGAGGAATGAAAATGTCACCCATTGTGATGGATTATTACAACCACTGTATTAATACTGTGTAGTTCTGTGCAGCAGGAACAAAGCGAGACGGGCCCTAAAGTCAGATTATAAATCACAACCAACAAGTAACAGTCTGCAGGAGCCAAGCCTAAATTATCCTAAATTATTCATGTGAATCTCAATGAGGCTACTATCAGCAGGAAAAACACGTATTACTTATGTAAATCCTTAGTGGCAAAAAGTACGAGCTGTTTTATAACAGATGTAGCCTGAACTGTCAACTTCCTGCATGACAGAACATACTGATACCCCCAACACCAGCACATGGCCTCATTCACTCCATCACTGCTTCTTTCTACCTGTTCATTTATGTTACCAGCAGTTTTCACTCATGTAGTGTTGCAGACGAGAGGAACAAGAAGCTTTACCAACATGCTACAGTGGCCCTGAGAGCTCAACATACTGCAACTTAAGAAAACACATGCAAATAGACAAATTCAGAATCTTCATAAATTTAACAACACGTGTAGCAAGTCAAGTCAAGTTCATTTTTATTTGTATAGCGCCAATTCACAACAGAAATTATCTCAAGGTACTCACAACACAAGCAGATACACAAACGTGCTGCAAGTAGCACCACTGTTTCCAGGGGACACTAAAAAGTAATGAACCCAGCTAGGACACACTTGCACAGATCTATTATAATACATCCATGTGCACTTGTTCAGTTCCCAGTCAGGTTCATCACTTTTTCGTGTCCCCTGGAAACACTTCCGTTGTCATCTGTTCTACTTTTGGTGTGTTTGTGTATTAGCAATGTGTGTGTTGTCAAACTGATGAAGACAGCGTGTGTTTTGTCCATTTGCATGTGTTTCATTTAGCTTCAGTGCATTGAGCTCTCAGGGCCACCATAACCACACAAAGGTTCACATCCCAATTAACGTCAGCTACAGTAATTAAGTTTTCATTAGGATGATGGGAACAGGTAAATGATAAACATGATCCTAAGTGGTTTGAGCTGTGGTTGATATTTAAATATTAAATATACAGTGGACACATAAGTTTAGTTCTCATCATCTGTTCCATAATGTTCTTTACTGGAACAGTTCTTTTGATTAATATTCAGAATTAGTGGTCTTTTGTGCAACAGGTCAAACAGAAACCCAAATGGACAGTGAGGCATCAACTAACCCCTAAAGTCTTAGACCTCAAGTTTCTCTGCAGTAAACCAGCAACAATGGTGTGTGGTGTGAAGTGTTGTGATCTCAATGTTGGTGAGTTAAGAGCAATCCTGTCATGGTTTTCTTTGACAGGAATATTTCTGTTGGCTCTTTGGACTTTGTTCGTCCCTTTGGTCATTGGTTAATTTCTTGTTCTATTTTGTAATTTCTTCGCCTGTGTGTCTTGTGGTTATTTTACTTCTCCTCTTTATCCTGTTTTTTGTGATTGTCTGCCCTACGATAATGTGCTTCACCTGTGATCAATCACCTGTGCCTCCCTTGTGTGTATTTATTCCCTGTGCTCCCTGTTTTACTCTGTTGTAATTAGTTTGGATTTTTGAATTTCCCTTTGTCTTTTGTTCCTGTGTACCCAATGTTTTTTGGCCTTTCTGTTTTGCTTCTGTTTTGTCTGTTAAGTTCTCAGTATTTGCCTAGTTTTGGATTGCTCATTGGATTGGTGTTGGCTGCATTTGGGTTTCCTTAAAACCTTACTCACCAACATAGCATGAAGTTATTGAACATATGAATTGGCTATGAAGAAAACAATACAATCATATATTCTTGAGAGGAATGCAAAAAAGGGACAATTTTACATTTAAGAACAGTCAGCTGTTTTCGGTCATGTGTGAGCAATGAGACATCAGCTCAGGGGAGGCTGAGGCCCTGGTATTTGACTTGCAAGGAACAAGTCTACATATGTTCACCTCAAGTTTTGGAGTTTTGACCATGTTTCCCCAAAATATAATTTACATTGGACTATATTATAATATACAGTGAAAGTCAAAGGTTTCAGTGCAGCTGCATAAAACCGTTGTTTTCATGATTCATATTTTATTGTGTTAGATGTGCTTATATAAGCTGGACATCAGCAAATTTAATTCAATTATTTAATAAAAATGAATTTTTAATAAATTTTATTTTGTATATATTGTAACACAACAAACCACTCTTAGTGTCCTCTTCATCTATCGTCACATTTATTTCAAAAGCAAGGTGTGCACACACACACACACACACACACACACACACACACACACACGTAGGCACACACACTTCCAAGTAAGTTTCTAGGTAACGTTATTTCTGTGGCTCAGTACTATGAAAAGTCACATTTAACAATCTGCGACACATGGACAATATAACTTTACGTTACTTTGCCAGTTTAAATGCTGGTAGCTAGCTAGCTTAATGATGTAACATTAGGCTAATGTTATCAACGTTACATATTTTGACAGGTTTGACAGGTCAGCATTAACTGAACTCAATACACAATATCAACTTTCCACATCCCCCACAGCCCGTTTACCTTTGCAGAGGAGTTAAAGCCCCACCCCCACTTTTTCAGATATTCCCGCTTGATATTTGGGGGTCTAAGCCCGTTGCTATGATGGGTCGAACACTTCTTCTTCTCTTACTCAGCAAACTAGACATTGCTTCCGCCTGCCGTTAGACTTGAGTACTGCATGTGTAAAATTGAACTCCCAGGTGTAACCGTAAACATACTTTGATGTAAAAATGCGTACAGGTTGGTAAGTCTGGGTATCCCACAGGGCATCCTGACCCCTCCCTACATCTGGAACCACTAGACTAGACCATCAGAAGGACTCATTGTTTCAAGGACAAATTGCTGCCTGTTTCTATTCATGTCTTCATGATGAAATCTCCTGTCCTCTTTAGTTAGGGGGAACATTGTTTGTTTGAGAAACGTGCGATTAAAGATACTGTACCTTCAGGGCACCCCAGTTGTTCACCTGGTATAGCGCATACCACTTAGGCCCAGTCCTTACTGCAGCAGCCATGGGTTCAGGTCCGACCCATGGCCCTTTGCTGCATGTCATCAACTCTCTCTCCCCAACTTTCATGTCACTCCCTCACTGTTCTTATACAATTAAAGGCAAACTGCCCAAAAATAACTTTAAAGATACTGTACCTTCACATTGTCTGGATGGAGACCTCCAGGGTGTTTGTCCATGTACTGGCACAGGTCTGTGTGCTGTAGAATAAAAGCAGATCAGCTCAATATTAATAAAGTAACATGAGGATGCAATGCAATAGCATTGAAGGCATACATATTATCATCCCACATACTTATTATGTGCCTGCAATGCAACAGCATTGAAGGCATATATAATCATTATGTGCCTGCAATGCAACAGCATTGAAGGCATATATAATCATTATGTGCCTGCAGTGCAATAGCATTGAAGGCATACAGTATATTATTATTCTGCATACTTATTAGTGTGAATGCTGAGTCAGTGAGTACCCTCCACCTCTCCCATCACTCCTGTGTCCACATTTTTGGCTCTAGAAACACCAAAGCCACATAATCTGTGCACAAAGTTCTTGGTTTGCTCATGGTTCTGATAGGAGTTACCATTCTTTTCAAAAATAGCAGTTGTTTGAGAGGCTTGCCGAGCCAAAATCTCACCCATCTGTTTCAGCTCTGTGTCTTCCAGATAGACACAGCTGTTCGACATGGCTCATTAGGAGACTCTTTGTTCTCTGTGATGTTTATAAACACAGCCACGTGCTCGCACACACACACACACACACACACACACACACACACACACACACACACACACAAACTACTAATGCAGTTTCTGAGAGGAAATGGACAAAACTTAACTCTTATCAATATTACTCTCAACTATGAAAGCATCTATAAAGCAAACACAAACCATCTCCACCTTTGGATATTTACCTTACAAGAAATCATAATTTTCGCATCTAATTTTTCTATGTACCATACTTCAATTAATATGAGCTGCTTTTTCAACCATTTTAGCATTGTGGTGAGATGATATTTTTAATAGGACTTGTAGCTTTCCCTTCTGATATCCCATTTTGGAACACAAGTTTAATCTTGTGTTTAATCTAAAGCTGTTGTCTGCCTAGGGAGACAGAGGAGAATGTGTGTGCGTGTATCCTTCCTCCCCCTTGTGGCCACAGTCGCCAGTGGCAACCAGTGTCTCAGCAGGTGTTACTCAGCAGATGTTACTGAAGAAATGGGCAGAGCTGATTCTGATTGGCTAATTAAGATCATCAATTCTTAGCCTTTTAACTCAGCTATGAGAGGAACTCAAAGGCTTAATGGCTTGTCTTAATTTTTTAGCCTCAGAAGTTGCCACTTGGGGTCACCTCAGCTAATTCGAGTCACTGAATGTGACTTCTCACTTGTGTTTGTGGTGTTGGTTCTTTTTGATGGATTTGTCTGACAAATATTATGGCTTCTTGTGTGGTTAATTGACTAGTAATTGACTAGTCTAGTATTAGTTTACTCATATGTTAGCATTAGATGGATAGATATATACTTTATTTTTCCCCTAGGGGAAATTCAGGAAATTAGCAGGTATTGGTGTTTGTGCTCACCAAACGTGGCCTGTTAGCTTAGCTCATTGATTAGTGAACAAATGAATTAGCCTTGGGTTATCTTTCAAGCTAGGCGCTCTATTGCCCAATGTTAACAGGTATGCATGGTTGCTATAGTTATTAAACTAGTCTCGTCTCCACACACACCCCACCTCTTTGCCCATTTTTGGATTAGCCGGGAGTTAGGCACTGCCAAGATGGCGACGCTGGAGCAGCCCACTTTGAGCTTCCAACCCACCCTTAAGAAACCTATAGGTGACGTCACAGAGGCTACATCTATCTATATATATAATAATCCATATAGGTTGAAATATACCTTGATCAGCTTCAGTTCTGACGTTGCAGACCGATTCCTGATTGCCTGAGCTGAGCTTTCTCATAGAACAGAAATATATAAAAGAAAATCCTTGGTGTCGTCTATGTCCATGGGAGAGTTGTGGAAATTAAAACAGTGACCTTCCAATAAAAAGGCCACCTGACTTCATATTGTGGTTGCAGACACACCAGCCAACGGTGCGCTTGGCTGCCATCCTATGGTAGCAAACAGTGGAAAAAGCCAAGGATGCTTTAACATTCTTCACGTCCCCTTATAAACAAGAATATGCCAGTCAAAATATCCCAACTCATGTTTCTGTGGGCCAAGCATTAAAAACTGCACACACTGAGGTCAAATCAATCAGACTGAAGACACAGACATCAGCGCAGACCTGTGTTCCCCTTTAAACCTGTGGTTTCTTTTCCTTCTGAACAAATACTAAAAACAGATTCCCAACCTAATTCCAGACCTCTCCAATCCACCCATACAGGGTCCAGATCTCAGCATGGCATAGTGCAGACTTACCACATATTCAAAGACCAGAGTCAGGGTTTCCTTGGTGTGGATGATGTCATGGAGGAGCACGATGTTGGCATGCTTCAGGCCTTTCAGAAGAGATGCTGCAGGCACAGAACGGACACAGAATCAGAGATATTGAGATACCAGAGGACTTGCTATGATCAATGCTTTCACTATCTGCATCATTAGAATTATACACAGCCTCAAAATGAAAAGAAAATACAGGCTGGATTTCCTGCTGCAAGTTCTCACACTCATTTGTCAGCATGTTTATGATGTAAAAGGCATTGTTAAGAAGTAGAGCAGTGATATGATATCTTGGGAAGATGATCAAAATGCCTATTACTTAATTAGCAGAGCTTACAGAGTGTTACTGAGGAGGCCGGGTGTGATCAGCACATTCTGGGACAGACTCTCTATGACTTTCACATGTGATTTGCTTCATCTGAGTCGCACCTTGAGTACAGTTAGGAGGGACTGTGCAAATAATACACACACATATGACATATCTGCTAGACTGTGGTTTACAACACAACTTTCTATACAAAGAGAAAAATGTAATAAACCTTGTCAATGAAACTTGCATGTTTCTTACTTACTGTGTTTAGCTTTGACAAAGCAGAGAAAGGGTGAACGACAGAGCGCAAGTGGGGCATAGAGGGGTTGAGTGAATTAATGCGCTATGCACAGATCTTATAATGAAATAAAGTTTTATCCATTTGAAATAGTAAAGTATTTTCCGTTCATTATGAAACTGTGTTGTGACTAATCAGACTGTGACAGAGGATGTCAGTGGAGTAGGCGATCCTTCAATGTGGCAAGGACAAATTTGCATTCAAACTGCTAAAAAATGTGGACACATGTAGTCCAGACCACCTCCGAATGTGGTCTGAGTGATCGGATCTCAAATGCGTCCTCAATGTGTCTTGGGTGCATTCACACCTGTCTGTCCTGTCTCTGCCTTTTGTGTGTGTGTATCTGTCTGTGTGTGTGGGTGTGTTTGTAAATATAACAGAGATCTATGAGTCTCCTAACAAGCATCCGGCCTTGCTGGCCTGCTCACAGCAGACTACAACACTCTTCTCAACAGCAGCGTCCTGCTTAGGATTAACTGAGAGTGAACCAAGTCTTCTTCAGAATCAGCGCCTATGAAACAAGGTTAGCCAGCTGATTTTCCAAGCAACAGGAGCCACGGCAGAGTTAGTGTGGAACAGCTGAGTTGTGAGAAGAAGATGAACAAAGAAGAAAAGAGCAGAAGCCACACAGCCAGACAGGACTTTACTCACCAGGAAGCCACCCAACTCACTGGATGCTTCAACAACACGGGAAAAGACCTCTTTGTTTTTTTTCAAAGGACTGGGTAATGTTAACTGAGCCTAGCCTCACCTAGCATAGCACAGCTAAGCAGCAGAAGTCTAAACCTTAGTAAATGTACATGTTGGTTAATGTTTGTTAACACACACACACACACACACACACACACACACCAGGTGTTCTCAGCGGCCATTTTGAGTAGTTCCTTTGTTTACTGCCATCTTGTGTAGTCTTCTTTGTTCTGGCCATGTGGTCATAGCAACCATTGAATTTCTCTGTGTCCCCAAGACCCCCCCCCCCCACAACACACCACACAGCACTTATATACTAGCTTTGTGTGTTTTTACTCTGTTCTATTGTAAATAAATGTCTTCAAGTATAACTACTGGTGTGTTTAATGTTACACAATTGCAGTGTGAATATTGCCAACCTCTACTCAGTAGAACGCCAATCCTTCAACCTTTACTTACTTTTAATATGGTAATTTGGTTATAGATACGAAGGTAATTATTAATCAGAGTTCCAGATTAATAGTAATAATTTGAGACTGAACCAATACTGGCTATTTTGCCTATTAGTTTAGGTTGGGGCCCCCGTGGACTTTAATTAATTTTAAAGTTATTATTTAATATTAATATTTTTTATATTAATATTTTCTTTCTTTATGATAGCCAATAAATTGATATCGTGTCTACGAGAATAGGACATGTGTCCGTATGGATGGACGGACCACCTGAAAACAATATGCCTCTGACTATCGCCGGCATGGAGGCATAAGAATCCCCTTGTGATAATATTGCATATTGGTTTTTGGGCTGGATTATATCAAGATATTAAATCGTGGATATCGGCCAAGCCTAGTTAAACATGATCTATACTTGAGGTTCTTTCCACTTATAAACCTCTTACCTTCTCTTATGGCTGTGAAGGGCGTTCCTTCCTCCTCTTGTAGACGAATCACTTTCAGAGCCACCAGCTTCCCATTCACCCTGGCAACAGAACAGAGGACAAACAGAGTATGGAAAACTGGTGTTTTTGTGACATAATAAAAGAATCTATTAAAACCGATGAAGCTGAAATGAGGATGAAGTTAGAGTGAAGATTGTTTAGCCAATGAAATGTAATTTGGCAGCAGTGTAATGAGACCCGGGTACAAGGCCACGGGATTACAGCTGAGTGAAGCTCACCAATCAAAGCTGTTGTAGTGAAGATAGTGAAGAGTAAAGCAAAATAATATCATTACTGAGACGAATAGATTGTTTGGAGTTTCACACATTTACAGTGTGTGAACTTCCTTTCCTGGTATTTAATTAGCAAAACCTGAGAGAGGAGCACAAATCCATAAAAACTATCGAATCAATGCATAAAAACATCCATGCTAAAGAAATTTCGTAAGTCGCAAACATGCAGTATAGAGAAAAATTATTATTATGCATCAAACTATATTCTGCAGCTGTTATTACTTTTCCATTTAATTAATCTATTCTGGTCCAGCATGGCTCCTGTATAATGAAATGTAATATTCACTGCCTTCATGAGTGGGTCTTATGAACTTTAAAGTAGACAGAGCGTATTAGACAGTGATTTGATATGCACACACTACTTACTTGCTCTTTCCTTTGTATACTGTAGCATATGAACCCTCTCCCAGCTTTTCAAGCTTTTCATAGGAATCTGCTTTTCCAAACTTTGGGCTTGTGGGCTGAGGAAAAAGAAAAGAGAAATGAAAAAAGTAATATGAAAGGATGAATTCAGGATTTCCCAGAAGACATTATACATCTTTGAGTGATATTAAAACCTTGAGACTTCGCACTGCATCATCAGGGAGGTGTAATATCAGCAAAGAAGAGGAGAGAGAGTTTCACAAAGTCAATAATTGTCAGCCCGTAACTTTTACAGACTTTTCACTGTGTCAGTTCACAGGTAAAAGAGGTGATAACTTCAGCTCTGAGGAGATGAAGCCCCGGACTGAATCTGTTCTCACCCAACAGCTTTGAAAGTCTAAAACTTACTGAGGTTGATTTAGAAACATTTACAGGAAAAAGACTGCAGTAAACTGTATAGTATGATTTTCATTTTAAACAGGTGGTAGTAGTTCAGGCAGACAGAGAAATCAATTACGTGTCAGTCACGTGTTCCAAACATCTTCCGTGTGAATTTTGTATGTTCCCTTAAAGACTCCTCTGGTGAAAATTAAGTGTTTAACATTGTTAACATCCATATTATTATAATTATTATAATACAAGACATATGATTAGTGAAATAATCAGTCAACACCATGACTAAGTATTTCCATCCTGAACTGCACTGAACCAATGAGTGAACCAATGTCTCACAAAGACATTCAGGGATTCATATGTCAAAAACCTAAGAAACTGATCCTGTCAACTTGTGGGGATGGGGGGGGGGTTACCTCCTTCAGTAAACTAGCTCACAGAGAAAGCAGACTATCTCTGGTGCATTTACAATGGAAAGGCAATGGTGCGTATGCACAGCGGGCATTTATAGATGCAGTGAAGACGCAGCCATGTCATTAGGATTCCTTGCATCTCTGCCAATGAGAAACGTGAGTTTGGGACTCCCCTGAATTCAATTTGGGTGTGAAATGTGGAGCATGCTGGGAGTTGGAGTCTGTGGGGCAGTCTTTGGCACTCTTTCCTTTGTTCAGGGGGTTTAAGACAAAAGACCATGCTCGCTTATTATTCAGTCAGGCTTCAGGGGTTACAAGTAGGCCCTACCAGGCTTGCTTTGTCTGACCACATGTTCAACACATTTATTTATTTCTGTATTTCTACATTTATTTATTTCTGTATATCTTTGTACGTATGTCAATTAGGTAGGCGGTCCTTTCTCAGTGTAAAGCCGGATTGGTGCTAAATGTATGATTGATCGGACGGATCGACTACTACTGCCTTGACTTGACTGGTTCACAAGAGGTATGTAATACTCATACATAGGTTCAGGTCTGGACCCAGACATTGTCCTATCTGCACCCGCACCTGTAAACTATGAATTGTTGATGATAATTCAATTTTGAGTGTTTCTATTTTAACCGTCACAGCTTTTCTAGCCTTTATGGCAATGGTCACATGACACTACTCTGCCAATCACTGCGACTGGAGTCAGTGAGTGAGACACACACACAGGAGAGGAGAAGAAAGAAGAAAGGATGTGTTAAAGCTGTTCAGCTGTTCAGATGTGTTGTGATTGTTTATTACAAAAATTATGGAAACTGTTAATATGTGAGTTAACAAAAAAGAAAAGGGGAAAATCAAGCTTTTTATGGTATTTTTGTAAAATTAAACACTTTAAGATGTACATTTTTCGAAAAGCTCTGTGTCATGTTATTATTATGGGAAAAGAACATTTAAGCATTATCAGAGGAGTTACCTTAGCTCTTTTAGACCTCTGAATTTTAATTGCCCCGTTACATCATTACACTGTATATGTTGACTAAATGTCCTATTGAGTTAGACCATCTTGTGATATTAGACTACTGTGTGTCAAAAAGGAAAAACAAATACTGCTCAATTATGAAAAAAATTTCCAACATCCTATCGTGGAACTACAATCTGCATTTCCATGGCAACACTGACACAACTGTGGACTGCTTTCTCACCCATCAACCCAAACTGAGGTGACTGCCCAATAAATGCTGTATCAGCAGCACCATCATGTGATCTTCCTCCTGTTTTATGACTTTTTCTTTTCTCTTGGGGTTGAGGGGTCAAACACTGGAACTATTTCCTGGAACTGTGACTGTGTGTAGCATCTGAAGTCTTTTTTGCCAGATTTGGTTTTGCCAGTGCTGACTGACCATATCTGACAACCAGCACTACAGTTAACTGTTTGTCAGGAAAGAGTTCCAGCACGACTCCCCCTAACACTGTTGCTTTATTAGTGCCACGGGTGCTCAGCATCTATTAATCTTCTGTTTCGGGTTTATTATTCTTCCGCCAAATTTTGGCGCGTAACTCGTCCCGCAGCTTTGAGAAAACCCCAGTAATATATACATCAAAACGTGCGTCTTGATCCCGAAAGGGGTGCTATGACTTTTGGTGTTAAAATTCCAATTTTTCCCAAAGTTATTCCCAAAAAACTGGGAATAAATAAAGCATTAGGAATGCATTGGAATTTTCTTTAGAAACCCACAAAATTTCACCTTTTTTCTACAAAATTTCACCTTTTTTCTGAGTCACCCAGCTCTCTCATACCTGCACGTAGAAATGTGATTCAAACTATAAAACGGAGGAAAACTTCTGCTCTCTCAAAAACATAGGAACTGTTTTTACATAACATGTAAACTTTTCAACGAGGAGTGCAAATCACTTTTTCTTCAAAGTTAGAGTGAAAGCGTCAGTTGGCTAGAGTGCGTGAAGCAGTAAAAAATAACCTTTATTTTTATTTTTAATTCGAGCTCACGGCCAAACCGTAAAAAGGAGACAAATAATTCTTTCCGAAAATGTAGACATAGTTGTTGGGATTCATAAAATGTAACTTTGACAGGCAGGGTCTGCACAAAATTTAAACGGGGGTGCCGAGTCCGGCAGCAATACCTGTCTCACTCTCATTGACACCTAATGTAATCGTCTTTTTTTTTCAAAAGAATCTCACTCTGTCTTCGCACTGAGCTTACTCACTCATTTTAAGGAATATCTGAATAAAATAGAGACTGTAAGAAACTTCTGGCTTCAGTGTCTGTCACGGTGTTTTCGGTTTTTGAAAAGAAGTAACGGTTTTCTCATAATTTGCAATTGTTTGAAGCCATGTAGAAGCCAAATTCTGGGCAGATTTTCACATTGCCATGGCAACGGCAGCTCCTGACCTGTGTGCGTGTGTGCGTGCCTAGCAACCAGATAACCAACTCTCCAAGCTCCGCTAGCTTTACATTAGCCGCATGTTAGGTCTTAAATTACATTTAGTTAGGTCTTAAATATGTAAGTCCATTTACTGCTTCCTTTGTTGCTTTTCTTTTTGTTTTGTTAAATGAGTGAATGAAGTTGTGACGGTCTCCGCTGAGACAGAGGAGAGGAGAAGCTACTAGCCCTCTCTCGCTGTCACTTCTAGTCGCGTTGCTCTCCTCCCCAGTAATGTTAAATTTAGCACCGAAAAAAACATAATAGTGGTAATTTAAATAGCGGTTCATGGGATTTATTAACCCTCAGGGGTCCCTCTGTCCTTTTTTGGACATTTTCTTCACTTTTCTTTTTTGATTTGCTGATCATTTTGGCTGTGTTACAGCTGAAGGTATGGATTTCTGCAAGAAAGTGTCTTTTTTGACATATTTTTAAAATCTAATGTCAGTTACTGTTACAGGTCTATTATACACTGGTAACACATTTTGTACCCTCTGGGGTTCCTCGCGTCCAAAAAAGGACACACAAAGAAAATGCTATAAAATCATCATATATCAATATTTTTTTCTGCTTTTTTTTGCATACATCTCTTAAACCACTTCAGTTCTGCTCAAACCTACCAAATGTTTATTAGTTTTCAGGATTTTAACCCTTTAAATGCCAGTTTGAAGACATGTTGCCTCTTGTTTTATTAATAAAAACAACACAGAATATGAGATATTTCCCACATAATACATGATGATGTTTTATATCAGAGTCTTTTATATCAAGACATTTCTCAAAACAGAATATGATCAGAGTGACTTTTGAACACTGGAAATAAGTAATGTACTCATCCCAGCAGTAGCCCCCGTGGCACTCAAAATTTCCCTGGAATTTTCTAGTTACTAATGCTTTGCACTGAGCCAGGGTAGCTATTTAAAGTCATTTTCAGTTAATCAGCTCCCAGCTCTAGCTCTGTGCATAACACACAGACATTACATTAACATCAAGAAATGAAAAACATCTCTCTCATGGAAACAAAGCAAATCAGTGTAATCCCAAAAATACTAAACTTTCTAAGTGATTGCTGTGGGAGTGGAGCTGGGAATTGTAAATTTAAGGTCCAACCAGATTAGTGATGAACTCCACATAAACACACACATATGCAGAACACTAAAGTGTGTGACTATGGTTGTGTAAAGGTGTACTTACAGAACTAGGGCTGGAGTGACGGCGCAGTTTTGGCGACTCCTTGCCGGCAGACGAACTCTTGGCGTTGATGCAGGCATTGTTCTCAGAGTGGACCCTCTTCACCTGACTGGCTGGCCTCTCGAATGGGTCGAAGCCACTCTGCGTGCGCTGAACTCTCACTTTCTTGTCCTCAGGAATGGTGTCCAGGGGCTTGATGACTGAGTCTGTTCCCTGGCAGCTGCGTGTGGACATCTTTGTGACACATATCTGTAAAAAGAAGGTAGAGGAAATAAAAGTGAGCATTAAAGAAAAAAAATCCATCTGCGATTACCAGTGATTAGCCAAAAACTGACTGTGCCCCCATCTTCTATTTTTCATCTCACTGTCAGCCTGGGCCTTTTCCCTCTCTGCAGAGCCTTGCTGCTACCTCACTGCTAAGATGAGTCTTTTTTATCTCTATCTCTCTCCTCTCTGATCAAAACAGCTCCAGCCTCTGTCAGCTCCACTGCACGCACACACACACACACACACACACACACAGCCAGCTTTCCATACTGTACGTTCACACAATTCCACCTTATCTCTGACACACATCTACACATCCATACAATTGTGTACACATGCTGCTTATCGTCTCCTGCAAGCCCATCGGGCACACTCCCTCTACACTCTTCATCTATTTTCCAACACAAAGAACCTCACCAGCTGCTCTTCCACCATCGACTGTGTGTATTGAACACAAAGGACGCGGGCAGCATGACATGTTTTGCCACAGCTACCTTCAGATTAAATATTTAGGATTAGGCTCCCCTGCAGGAAGGACTTCTAATTACTCTAATAAACAAGCAGGGGTCATGTTGCAACTCGCCAGCCTGTTCTTTAACTTGGGCCAGGTTTCATTGGACTCATTTTCCCACAACACAAACTCACATCACTGTGGCACTAATTTTAGATCAAACAAAAGGCCTGAGTTTTGGGTTTGAAATAGGAAGTTCCTTAAAGTGAAACTGGGGCTGAAGCTCATCTACTCTTACTTCCTCATTGAAAAAATCTGGATCAGATCAGAGTATCAAGATGGTTAGCGTTAGAGGAAACATCAGAGGGACTCATGGGGGAACAATTGGCGACTAGTAGATGAACAACGGTTAGCATAGTTAGATTCTTTTATTTGTTTATGTTGTTTAGCACCACACAGGCACACTTAGCAGATTTTCTTCTTTGACAAAGGGAAACCTAAATGAAAATGGAGCTTTTGCCCCTGAGGCATATCATGCCTTTTCCCTACAGTGTTCAGAGATATTAAACAAGTTGTGTTGATGTTGAAAACCTGTGTAGGCCTAGTTTTTTTTCCACTGAGAAAAACGGAATCGTTGAGGGAATCAATAAAAAATCTGACCAATAAGTAGAATCGATAATGGCATCGGTATAAATAACATTTTATCAATACCCAAACTCTAGTCTAAAACTGACATGAAGAATGCATGGTAATCATAAACATGAGTCCCATCCATATCCTCAGAGGATGTCCTCAGTGACAGCAGCTGTAATGTAGAGCAGCACATATGGCAACAAAAATGCATACCATAATTTTGGACCTATCATACTATCAGGCATCAGTACCTGAGAGTCTGGAGAGGATGTGTTCAACATCTCTGGACGAGATCTCTGGAGGTCATCAGAGTTCTTCAACACTATGAACGCAGAGTCTGATGTACTGGGAGAACAGGAAACTATTCTTTTCTGAAATGATGGTACCACATTTTAAAAAAATAACCAATGACAACACTGGTTTGGTTTCGAGCAACAACAGAACAGCTGCAAAAACTTGTGGGTCACTAGTGGACATGGTCAGCAGCAGAAGTGGGATGTAATGAAGTACCGTCACTGATTTTATTGTTTTAACATGTGTTTGTAATTCTCCGTTATACATGCCTTGCAAATGACACTTTGCCTCTTCTCCGTGTCTTTTATTGCTTTGCCTTGTTTCAATGTGTGTACAGCAGTTGGTATAGCACTATGCTATATAAAGTTATCATTATAATAATTATTGTTATTATTATTATTATTATCATTATTATTAATTCCAGTAATTACTTTTTTAATTACTTTATATTAATCTACAACATTGACTAAGGCAGGTACTAGTAAGTCTGCTGAATTGTATTTTACATAAAAGCAACATTATCAGCTTTTAAAATATGACACATTGTTAAAGTACATGGTCAGAATTAGCCCCAGATTGACCAACTACAACGTTAAAATGCTACTTACATGTTAATGCACAGCAATGATGATTTATTGATTTTATTACTCTTTTGATTATGTAAGTGTATTTTTGCTGATAACACCTCTGTAATTTTACTTAAGATTTAAAATAAGGAAAAGTAATGTATGGTAAATTATATCTTATACCATGGTATTGCAGCTCTCAGCCTACTTCCTCCAGCACTGGACAGAACATGAGAGTGGTGTAAGCTGTAAATGATCTAACTTAGCCTAATGGTGTGGATGGATGTCTTGCTCAAAGTGTTTCCTAAAAAGTGCACTGCCTGTGACATGACTGAAGATTTCTCTTTTTTGTGAATGATAGTATCAGTTTTATTAAGTGGAAAATAATTATATAAGTTTGTTTTGGTCTTGTGTTCTTTGCTCCAGCCTCCGTGCTCCATTTGGAACGTGACACCTCTGTATGCTTCATTGTTGCTCTTTATTTTGGTTATAAAACCCACCTGTACCTGGTTACAGTTTCCTGTTTGCATGCACACAGAGGTCATCTCCATAACATACTCAACATATTAACTGCAGTGCAGCCATTCAATACAGCAACAATCAGCACGCTCTCAAACCATCCATCATCTCCATTAGAGCTGGAGAAACAACATCTTACTACTGCTTGGGACTGACAGCTCCAAGTCAACCTAGAAAAGGCAGCTCAAGTTCACAAGAAACGTTGTGACTACTTGGTTCCGCCCAGATATATGTGTTAAAATCGGAGTCTTTGAAGCAAGTCCCACTGGAACTTACTGTCCCCTGGGAAGACTGGACAGAAGAGGCCAACAAGCAGAAAAGGGCAAAACACGTTCTGGAACAAAGGCTGGAGAGCGCACTGCGAGCCAGTCGAAGTTGGATGTCAGGGCTTTGCTTACCATTCACTACAGCAAACACTCAAACTCCTTCGAGCAAAAGGACTGCAGTGCAGAAAAATCACCAAGAACATTTTGGAGGCTGCTGAAAGGGCCCTCGAGAGGGAGGATCCATGCATCAGTGGGCCACATGGGACACTGGGTGAGGGTGTCTGATGATTAATGACCCGAAAACACCCAAAAACCCCAGGTTCATCACTGAAAACATGTCCAAGTAGCACCAGAAGGTGTATTATATTAGATTAATAAACCATTCTATGTACATAAATCACTCCAAATCTCAACATCTACAATTTCGATTTTGACTTAATGTTGTACAGAAGTTAATTCCCTGGAGGATGAATCCTTATAACTTCCTCTCTAGTGCCACCATGAGGTTGACATTTGTGGTTTTGGTAAAATATCTCAAATGTGTCATTAGCATAAGACCCAAATAATCTTTTAATAATCCTACTGTATGTAAGAAGAGCAATCTTTAGTGTTGTGAGAGTCCTATAACAGCTGTTCAGGGTGCAGTTGGAAATTCTCCAGTAGACAGTTCCAGTTCTTAGTTCTTAATTATAGAAAACCTGGATTCATGAAACAAATTCATTATCATATCTTACATTCACAATATCTCTTACATCGTCCATTTGACCTCTTTCTGACGCTGCAGCATCTTTAAAGAAAAAAAGACTAAAGCTATTTAAAAGAGTTACTGATCATCACCGACCCGTGTATTGATAAACTTCAATGAAACAACCACAAAATACAATATTTGCTGCAAGGTAAAACAGAGGACAAGCCTATTGCTCAAATATTTTTCTAGTGTCCGTCATGTTAAATGAAATACTTGTGGCATTTTTAAAGGAGCTATTAAGTTTTGGTATTGCTACATAGCTAGCATTATGTAACCCATGGTTAGGGTTAGGGTTATCCACTGGCACTGTTTAGCCAATCCTGGACAGCTGGACATTCATAAATATCTGGGTTAGGCCAGGTGACTTCCTTTTGACCTCTCATTCGTGCTGGCTGGTTAGCGTCCGTAACAACTGTATAAGCAGAGCTGAACACACTGTATTTTTTTCTTCTACTGTCCCGTCTCAACGTGTATTTCACTAACCTTTCTACGTTCAGTGATGAGTTACTGTATATATGTACAATGTTGTGGATTGTCTCTTAAATTGTGCCTGCTAGCATAACCGTTAGCATTAGCACGATGCGTTGAAATTACTTATAGTCCCGCTAGCAGTCTGTCTAATGTGTGTCTAGTGTAATACATGTGCTATGCTTCATCATGGTGTGGAAAGAGTGAATGAATTTGATCAATTGCTGCTGTTTTGTGGGGGATTGATTTGATTATCAATACAAGCCTCTGTTTGAGATAAGCCGTGAAACAGGGTGATTAACAGCCTTATACAAATGCACAGATGAGAATTTGTGTGGTTTGTTCGAAGAGTAGAGAGGACGTGTGTTGAAATAGTGGTGTACCAGATCAAAAGTGGTAAAGTTGTTAAAATTTGCCTTGAGAGTTGGAGGCATAGTTGTCAAAAAGAAGTAAAGCCAGCACAGTGCTTGTGGCTACCTCCTGGTAGACCCTGTAATGTTTCAGCTGGATGCTGAGGTGCTCCAGAGTAGAAAGGGTCAGAATGGACGATTGGCTGAATTTATGAGAATACAGAGATATTGCATGCACTGCTGAGGGACTGCAAAGAGATACTGCATGTGCCGCTGAGGGATAGCAGCACTAGCCAGAGAGTGTTTATAGTCTGTGTTAATACTGCTAAAGATAGATACATAAGTAGTTGTGTAAATAGTAAAAGTTTGTTGTTAACTGTACATATCCTTAGGCAGACCAATACTGATGAATGAGGGAGATAGTGTAAGATGAGATTTATTCTTGTGAGGACATATTCAACAGATTGCCTTATTTTGCATTGTTCATTATTTTGAGTCCACATAATTTAATTATTTGTAACTACATTTATAAATATTGTATTCTGCTGTTTAAGTTTAATCTGGAACTATATAATATGGCGCACTTTAGTGGCAGGTAATGTGAGTTATGATTAGGAGTGGCGGAGTGATATGTAAGAGGTGAGATGTCACTTTGGTAGTCAGTGTTCGGTTTTGCCTAGGCTTCGC